TATTTGGTTTAACTTATGTTGTTATACTATATATTTTTCAATTGTTTGTCATATATATATTTTGCAATTGTTGTCACATATCTTTGGCTGCCTGGCAGAAGGGCGTTAGCGCGCGAGCGACTCCAAAACTACTTTTGAATTATTCGCATGTGAAGATTTGTTTTATATTTAAACTGCTTTCTGTCCCGAAAATGAATTTAAAACTTAAAAGACTAATAGAAATGTTGTATTAGAACACGGCCACAATCTTTTTGTGGAAATAAGTCCGTTTTATAAAAGTTTGAGGCGATTTAGTGCTAACGCCCTTCTGCTTAACGCTTCAATTTTTACCTGAAGTTCGAGCTAACGCCCTTCTGCCAGCTAGGTGACGATATATTTTCCTATGTTATGAATACATTTTATTGTTGTATTGAAGAATTTCTAAAAAACAATAACAAATCATGTAATTTTCGTAAATGAATATGCAATCACTTCATGTTTAAAAGGTAACAGGAGACTGATCAACTTGTATTTCAACGATGACAGAGGTAGTTTCATATGATACGTGAAAAAATAAAGAATACTTATATCTGGTTTCCCTATTTGCAAATAATACTTGAATTTGAGTAACTATAGCTTTCACAACAACAGAATTGACAACTTGAATACAAACCCAATCTATTCATATCTTCGGTTTCAATAGTCATCTTCCAAATTAAGATTAATTACAAACTTTGGTTTTGATGTATTCTTTATTTTCTTTACTTCCAATACATGTTTTTTTACTAATTGATAAATGATACAATATCAATAGGCCTATCTAAAAATGGATCAACCTTCATTCATAGCCTAACTCTTTCTTTTTTATCTCTTTCAAATTCATGCTTTCGTTTTGGACACTGGTGAAGTTTCTCAGACAGGTCTGGTCACTTCAAGTCACCGCTTTACAATTTGAGGCAATATAACAAGGTTTAAAAGTTTTCACCTTTACTGAAAGCTTATAAAAGCAGCTGGTATATATTTATTCTCCTTTTAGTTGAAATCCCAAGGAGATTCTACTTTTATGGTAACGCATTTCTGTTTTTCCTCAACTACATTGTTGAATAAGCAAGGTTCTTTGAGGATAATTGGGAAAATTATATATCAACATATTATTGTCAGCAAATGTTGCACAATTGGACATGTTAAAGAAATGTTTTGTTGATAGCTGTAATACTAACAGGACTAAAAGGATCCAGTGACAGGCAAATAGCTGTATTTTTTTATTTTTGTTTAATGTCCAAGCAAACCTTCAGAAATTTTGCACACGCTAGTTTGTCTATACTTCTGGTTTTCCCTGTGACACTGTATGTAAAGAGTGTTTGGACATGGTGTGTGTTCATGTGGAGAATATAACAAATATGGAAGCATTTGAATTCTCTGTGTGATAAAGTGTAACATAGTGTGTGTGGACAGTGTATCCGCAACCAATTCTACCAAATTACCAAATTATAATAATAATAATAGTCACATTAGTTCTTTGTGACTGGCTGCTGCCATTCATTTATATGTTAAGAAAATATGCGGCAGTTTTTTGCTGCAGTTTACTGTGCCATATCTGAAAAAGCCTTTAGTCATCAAAATGCAACTCCATATAAATGTAAAACACATACATTTCTTGTAATGATCTTTTACACTAGACCTACACATAAACAGTAACCCCCCCCCCCCCCCCAGCTTCCCCAATCAAAAAATAGAAAGTGATAATTGGTCGCATCAGGATTGCTTTATCTAAACGCTTTAAGAGCTGTATCCGATCCCTGATTGATGGGCTGCTATTTGCCAGGAGAAATTGAACTTCTCACATCCAGATGGAAAATGCATTGTTCTTCCCCCGTACTTGCTGCTGACAAGAATCAAAAGAAACTTCAGCGAAATTCTCTGACATTTCAGCATTCCAATCACAGCCGATAGCAGTCTAATCAAAGAGCATGGTTTTTAATTAAAGTAGCTAGATTGATACAAACGCAACGTCTAATTTGTTTTTGTGATCCAAAATAGGTGCAATAATTCTTATAGTTCTATGTCTTTGTGCGATAATGAGAAGTACATGTAAGTATGTCTTCTCGGGAGAAGCAAAAGGACTCATCTCCAAGTCTCCTTAATATCGTTGCTGTTTTCACGAAGTGACGGTAGTGACAAAAAATTGCATTCACTTTGCGTGACAATTTTCCTCACTACCGTCACTTCGTGAAAACAGGGACGATATGTTTATGTTTGTGTACTAAGATATATACTGAGCCACTGTGTCTGGACACGCAAAAAGGACATGCATGCAGCTGTGGTCCATTACAAATGGCCTGTGAAAGAATCATTCACATGAGCTGTTCACATGAGCTAAAAATATATTTTCCAGGTCAATAATTGATTTGTTATTGAGGGCTGAGGGAATTATGCCCTCCATAATTCAGAAGGCAGTACACCTTTTTAAGAAAATAAACATACACATACTTCATCATGCAGACTATAGGATTCAAAGACTTACAAAGATGAAGGACGGTCACACCTAAACAATCAGAAACATTTAAGTAATAGATCTGTAGTTCTCCATTTGTTTTATAGATTACATTATTAAAGCAATCTCACATACACATCAAACATGTAAAATACAACACATGATGCAACTGTATACATAGTGCCTGCTCAGAGCCAGAAGGGCATTAACTGTATGTTACAGAATGTGAGATAGTGCCCTTCTGGTTCCAAACAGACGATGCCCTTCAGTAGCAGAAGGAAGTATCATCTAGAAGTTCACTTAGATGTCAATGTCTTCTGGACCTCTATTCACAATGCAACAAGGCTGAAAACTTACAACACAATTGTACACAATATCACAATGAAAGCACACAGAAAAATATGGAAAATTCAAGTAAAAGTGCAATAGACAACCCTTCATATTCCCCATCTGCCAAAACTAATTACTATGTAAATTGAGGTTTTTCAGCCAAAATTGGCAACTTTTGTGGAAACATTGTAGTAACCTTGAGGGTGGTCTACACTTGGTTTTATATTCATCATTCCTGGTGATTTTTAGAGATGCTGATCGAATCTTGCTGATTATTTGGTAACCTCTACCATTGAACTATGAAAACCACATGATTTCACAGATATTGAGCAGCGATTGACATTGGCAAAGTAGCCCCAAGGTATGACTAAGGAGGGGATTTTTAAGGATTAACAAAAAAAAATGACTACCGGTATACATATATATTTTACATCAATATGCAAAACTACATTCCAATTAAAGAGAGAGAGAGAGAGAGAGAGAGAGAGAGAGAGAGAGAGAGAGAGAGAGAGAGAGAGAGAAGGAGAAATAGTTTTAAGGTTGGAGAAGGGATAAGAGTTACAAAAAGGGAGAGGGAGCGCTAGAGATTGAGAAAACGGAGATAGGGTATGAGACACAGAGAGGGAGCATCTAAAAAGTTACAAGGTAAAATGAAGTTGGTTGTTAAAACACTTTTGCAACAAATATCAAATACAAGCACATGCATTCATTACAAATTTATGAAAATGAACATGACCGTGCAATATAAACATGCTATTAGATGCACATGCTCATGCACATCAACAGTGAAGCAAAAACTGAAACATGTAACGATACACAAAGTAAGACAGGGAGTTACGCAATTGTACGTGTACGTAATCTACTAATGAGTAGATTACGAGTTGAGATGAGCTCACAATGAGAGGACTGAGTCAATCCATACATAAGCCAAGGAACTAAATCCAGATCAAATTGAATCCATCCTATAGTAGGTCCATGATCCTATCAACCCATAATGATTCCTCTTAGCTTTTCTGTCAGTGCTCTGGGCGGTAAATCCTAACCAAGAATATTATGAGGTGGGGCAAGATACCTTCGGGCCAAAGTATAGCTAGCTCTCATCTTGAAAGACAAAGGATATCGCAGATTTAGAAGGGTGTTAACTCTCTGTGAGAGTACATGAATTAATGGCTTCTAGCTCCAAAAAAGACGATAAACATTTGGAAGTTTTGATCCAGGGGAGGGTGTTTTTTAAGCCCTATAAGTACATGGCAATCTTAGACAAATCCTGCCAAAATATTTTATGAGGTGGGGCAAGATACGTTTGGGCTGAATTCGCTAACTTTTATCTTAAAAGACAAAGGATATCTGTTGCAGAATCAGAAGGGTCCTATCTCTCTGTGATTTACATGAATCAATGCCTTCTAGCTCCAAACAGAAGATATGAATTTGGAGATTTTGATCCAGAGGAGGGTGTTTGAAGCCATGATGTACATGGGAATCTTAGGCAAATCCAGCCCAATATTTTATGAGGTGGGGTAAGATTGCCAAAATTGCTAGCTTTCTTCTTGAAAGACAAAGGATATCGTCTGTTGCAGAGTCCAAAGGCCCTCTTGCTCCAAACAGAAGACAAACATTTGGAAGTTTTGATCCAGAGAAGGGTGTTTTAAGCCATGGTTGTATCACTTGTATGTGTAACAAAGAATTTACCTCAAACTGGGACTGTTGAAAGTTCAATGATAATTTTCTTATTTGTTAACTGGGTGGTGCTGACTACAGCAAGCCTTAATTTTATTTGGAATGATTAAATGCTTTTGAAACTTCATCTTTAGGGCAATTTCATAGTATAAATCCTGGTGAAGCTTTAGTGTTAAGATCCAAATATGTTTGTTTAGATCAAAGGACTCATTGTAAAATCTTCTTTCCAAAAATATGTCAAAATTTTGAAAAATCAAATAGGTTTTACTTTAAATAGAATCTTTCTCAATTACAGTAAAACAAGGGTCCACCTTGTTTTCTTTAATGAAAAAAATGATTGGAAATGGTTGAAATTTACCCAATGTTAAATGCATGTATTTCACCACCAAAGGACCCCCTGTTTGAATAAAGGAATCATTTTCTTTCCTGTAGAAGTAGTAGGAACTCCCAGTCTTTATATGAAGCACATCAAAGGTCAAGACACATTACAAACACATATACATTCATTATATTCCATTACCTTCTAATGTGTTACTGTCTGCTGTAGAAGTACCAATGCCATACGCTGAAAAGTTGAAAATAAAATGAGTGTGAGAGAAAGCCAAAATCATAATTGGTGATTGAAACAAAAAATAATAGTGGTTGTTAGGATAATAATGGTTGTCAGGATAATTATGATGAGTCAATTAAACACTAGAAGAATGCTGTATAAGGTGCATACAATCCAAAGCTAGGCTCGGCCAATTTCCATACCCACAGTGAATTTAAAAGGCCTGTAATTTTTTTTTTAATGCAATAAATTTCAAAGATACCGCCGGTATTCCAGAAATAGCCATGTTTGCATTGATATACATGACAAACTTATGTTAAAGTTGTAACGTTTCCACATGTATATTTATTTGTAGAATGAATCACAAAAATGTTCTTTTTCAAACCATTTTGCATTCTACGGTGCAAATTTAAGGAAACTTTCTCTTAATTCTTTTGGAGAAATTCTTTGAAAAGTCTGGTTAACATGCTCCAAATTTCTGACAATTTCGCATCAATTTCATGATTTTCAGAATTCATCTAGTGATCAATTGACATTATCATAAGTAAAATAGTAAAAATCATAACAAAATATTAAAACAAAAGTGGACAATATGAAATATGAATGGCATCTAAAAATCAAATAGTTAGATAAAGTCATGAGATTTTCATTAGCAAATAATAAAACAAAATCATAGAACAACATGAGAATCAAATATCATCTACAAATCATATATTGTCTGGTTCGAGCCAGAAGGACGTCAACTATATTTACTTTGAACTGAACAGATTTAAGGATCTTCTGGCTCTGAACAGGATCAAGACTTAATGACGCAAACAACGTATAAATTAAAACTATAATGTAAAAAAAATACAAATGAGCATGTTAGAAGGTAGATTAGATGAAAACAATTAACTTCCCAAATAATGAGATAAGCTGATTTAGGATCCTTCTGAAGCCTTGTTCACATGATGCAGTAAACTGCCTCAAAAAACTGCTGTGACAAAATAAGAATGACAGAATGGTAAAGTGCCCTTCACATTTCTTACAACACAAACTAAGTATACTTGTGGGACTTTCAGCCTTTTCACACACAGCTAAAATTCATCGTATCTAGAGATGATTAGAATCACTCAACAGTTTTAAACACGTTTATAGACAAAATTTCCCAGTGTGAACATCGTTTATACGATGTTGGGATAGACACGAAGTCGCGATCCATACGCCCCTAAAAGCAGGCTGCAGATACGAAGTTCGTATCTAGAGAGCTTGACATTTTGTGTGTGAAAGGAAATTTGTGTTTAAACGTGTTTAAACTGAATGGAGCGTGCGCTTCGATTGATATGACATGACCTTCAATGCGCAATGGCACTACTGCGCATTTTACGAGCAGTAGTTAATCACGAAACTATTAACGATCGCAACGAAATTTCTGTGTGTGAAAGGCTCGTGATTAGTTTAAACACGTTCGAAACACGTTTATACTAATCATGTTTATAGAATTTTAGCTGTGTGTGAAAAGCTGCAGGTTGCATGCAGCTATTTGTTTCCACCCCATTTGTCATTCAAATGGTTTTATTTTGATTTTTTTTGTTTGGTCGAGGCAGTGACTGCTTCACATGTGAAAGAGGCTTAATGAAGTAGCGAAAGGGCAAGTTAGAATGTATTAATGGGGTATTAATGATAATTGATTATCCAAATGAGATGAAGAACACTTTCAACCTTGTGAAGTTGGTGTTACATTGTGAAGTTGGTGTTACATTGATTAAATCGTCCCTATTTTCACAAAGTGACGGTAGTGAGGAAAATCGTCACGCAAAGTGAATGCAATTTTTTTTCACTACTGTCACTTCGTGAAAACAGCGACGAAATGTCTGTTCAGAGCTATTGTTAACTTTGTGTTAAAGCATTTGAGTAATATTTCCCTTCTGGCTCCAAACAGACAATTTGACATGCATATCTAATGAGTTTGATTGAACCCAAAGTACCCTCAGACCCAACCATTAAAAGGTTAAAGGTCAATGTCGGGAGACAGCAATAAAGGATAAATTACATAATAGATTATAATTTTTTATTAGTGAAGCTATAGTGAGCAGAAAGTTAGATCACCTCTTACATATAAACCTGTGAACAACAAGAATGCATGGATAGTATGAACATATATAAGGAAATAAGGATTAAAATGATGAAAATCTCCCTCCTGTTATTAATGAAGAGGAAAAAGAAAGATGGAAGAGGTATATGAATATGATTTTGGGGTAAAAAGACAATTCTCCTCCCCCCAAATAATCCTTAAGTATCCAAAAAGTTGTACAAAAAAATGTTTAAAACTACAACTTATTATTTATCGGTTATAAAGATTTGGTGCCACAACACAGCAGACTGCACTTATTATTTATCGGTTATAAAGATTTGATTGTAAACATGTACAGGTATGAATGGTTGGTAATTATTAGAAAAGGATGAGAAGGAAATCCGGGTTTCCATACAACACAATAAGTAGTCCTAAATGTCATATGAAATGTGATTTATTGTACATGTATGTCCTACAATGCGAAGTCCCATATGTCAATATCTGTGTTGCTGCATTTTAGTGTACCGTATTCAAATCCATACTTGGTCCCGTGTGTCCATATCCGTGTCGCTGAATTTCATAGGGTGCCCTTTTTCAGAAAGTATGCATTCTTGTAAACATCTGCAGTGTGATAACCAAATACATAACCTATAGGGATTCTATACAACATGAACAACACATTAGAATGACATTCTATACAATATATAGATAAATACGCTTTCCTTGAAATAGAGTTATAAACAGAACTTCACAGGGGAACAAAATCCTGTCATTTTACAAATCCATCTCACAAACAGTCACACTACTGAGACAAATTACTCCATCCCAGACAAAAAGGAATAGATTTCCATATTTCCACGATAAGCGAGCATCCATATTTGGTGCCACAACACAGCAGACTGCACTAATAATAGATGACAATTTCCAGAGTCCTGCGAGATTTGCGAAAGCTGTCTACCGAGAATTACGACCAATTTACATCTTTCAGCCATAAACATTTCTGCCAAAGTTGGGAATGGGGAAATATATGAGAGCAACTGCTGCCTTTTCATCATATTCCGTTTATTGCACACAGAGAGAACGAGATAGAGAGAGAGAGAGAGAGAGAGAGAGAGAGAGAGAGAGAAAGAGAGAGAGAGAAATGCAAGGAATTTTGAGCATTACTAAAACATTCTTTCATTCCCTAGTTCATAAATGAGTTTATACCATTTGCAAAAATTTTGCATTAAGAAATGAGATGACATATTTTCTTAAGGGAACACTTTAAATATCACATATTTATAACATGTTTGTAAAATACCAAGCCAGTCTTGTTTATTTCACTTATAAATCAACCAATCAAGAGCCAGTAAGGAATTATTAGCAATGTTCTTTTTTTGTTTCTAGATTTTCAATAGTTTGTGAGATTGCCTCCAGTCAATTTCACATTCCTTTTTTTTTTTTACCAGAGTTCTATTCATACAGCTACTGATGATCATTCCTGTAAACTTTCTCTTCACCTAAGAAGGATCTATTTTAAGCAAATACTTGCTTATGAATGATATAACCTTACTTTTACGAGGAAGTCTTTAGATAGAAATTAAGAGCGTTTTACACGTACACAGGTTCAGTGTAGTTGCAGAATTGATCGCTTGAACACAAGAGCACTTTAGCATTAGAATGACGTCAGCAATTCCCACAACTGTAAATCATCAGTTACTGCAAATCACATATCCTATAAATCATGCGTGTTATTTCTGTTTTAAGTCAAAATGAAAAGTAGTTATTTTGAAATGAGTAATAGTGTGCTGGATAAATCAAACTCCTTGCTTCTCTTTAACAAACATGATTACTGATGACTGAAATGCGGTGAAATTTAAAATATTTATTCTGTGTGTCTTCTGCTGGGAGCTTTTAAAATGTTGACTTTGTGCCAAAGTATAAAGTTAAAAGCCTTCTGGCTTTATAAGCAAGATGTTTTTAATCAATGATATTTATGATTCCGTCACTATTAAAGTTAAGTACACAATATTCTTTAAGACATTCACTATTTTTTTCAAGAGTTATTAACAATAATTGATCATGTTAAACATATTTCCTTTCCCTCCATTATGTACAATATTCTTGAAATCATTGCCATTTAGACACCAAGCCCTATCCTTTCCTCCCTCCCCCCCCCCCCTCCCCCTTTCCTCCTTCCCCTTCCCCTTCCTCACTATATCACAGCCATCAATTACATTGTGGCCTTTTCCATGTGGAATAAATCTCTTTTTTGTGGTTTCTCTGAGGTATTAGATCCTAAATCAAAGATAATTATTAAAATTTTGAAGAAAAAAAAGTTAAACATCTCGCCTGTCTATCAAATTGTCTGCTGAGAGCCAGAAGGGTGTTAACTCTAAGTAAAATAATAGGAGTTACTGCCCATCTTGCTCCAAAGAAGACAAATGAAAATACTGCTTTCGTCCTAAGTTGTGATAAAAATCATCAGATATGTCATTTTGAATAGCTCAATGAGGTGTAGATTATTACTTGCGGCAGACAGTTTGATTTCAAGGAAAACATGTAGCCAAAAGATACCCATCTAAGATGTCTAGAATTCTAGCTGGAAAATCAAATGCTCTGAGTATTAAAATTCGCTACAAGGCTAATTAAACAAAAAGTGGTATAAGATACCGGTACGTATGAAAATACTGAAAAAATAGAGACAATTTGATATCACAGAGTAGCAAGAAATGCACATCCAATATATCTGAGAAATCTAGCTGGAAAATAAGATACTCTTTGTAAATACAGTCTACAGCTGCTATGAGATACCATCAAATGCCTATAAATAATGTAGTGGGGTAAAATAAGTCATAAAAAAATAAATAATACTGAAAAAATACAGATACCGGTAGTTTGATTTCAAGTATTAGCGAAAGATGCACATCCAAGATGTCTGCTGAATATGAAAATACTGACAAACTAGAGACAATTTGATAGC